GGTGTTCACAGTTTCCTCAATAATGGAAATATTCATTGAATGCGGTTTATCAATGCTCATCTCAGCTATGGCTGTCTGCTCGTGAAGCTCCTTTGGAGTTGCAGTACAAATTGTCCCGAAAGATGAAGCGACCGATTTAAAGTCTAAGGTGCTGACGTCGGAAAACCTTGGCTATGGTGCACGATTCTCTTCATTATGCAACTTAAATGAATCACTAAATGAACACTTACTGGACCTGCCCAATCGTGCACCCACCCAAAGAACATTAGCGCTCGGTATGCAATTGTTCATACTCAATCTTAATGTACAAAAGTGGTCCAAATCAGTCAGGATTCAAATCCGGGACTTAACCTTCCCGCACACACACGAACATGATGCTAGCCAATCTGATTGCACAGGTTCTATGACTTAGTGTTGCGTAACACGATGCACCCCGCAAACCAGGCTACTACGATAAACTTTGGACGATTTACTGATTGGCAAAATATAGATAGGCCTGTATCACGTGATTTGTAAAGACAAATCAGTGGATCAATAAATAAGAAAAACGGTTCGTCCCTCAAAGCCTGACCTCCCTCCCCCCCCCCCCGAAGAAAGCCCAATAGAAATTAAAAGCTTTCGAATAGAGTTACCAGAGTCAATTATACCCCTATCTGTTGTCCCTGGGCCATAAAGTGAATTGAAAAGCTCTCATTGTGGATCATGCATGAGGTAAGAAAACGTTCACTCACAGTTCTGATTAATAAACATTCCCCTGGATGGATTCTATCTAAAAAAAGTTATAATATTTAACTCGAGGATGAGTAAGTCAAGTCAAGTAAAGCTTTATGCACTCAATAGGATTAAATTTCAGCAGTTTCAACAAGTTGCTGTGGGGAAAACGCAAAGCATTTACTAAATGAAAAACAAACGGATTAAATGAAATCCTAATGTGACAAATGATTGTTTAAGTCAGTAATAATATTTGCTCCGTTGACCAAGATACATGTCGCATTCAAGATCGGGGAGTCGACTAACCGAAACATTTATTTAGATAAAATTGAAGTTGACAGAAACAATGAGGACCAGTCGAGGGACAACCGACCACCATATCATCAGCATACTTGCAGGTGACAGAGTTGGAAGGGATGGGAAGGTCCTTAATATACAGTGAAAAAAGAAATGGAGACAAAATTGCACTCTGAAAAACTCTAGAGTTGATTTCTAGCCGGGAGGAATATTTACCGTTGCAAAAGTGTATTGCGTCCGATGAGTGAAGTAATTGGTTAGTACATTCAGCAAATTAGGTGCCAGACAACCAGACCGATAGACGTTGAATGTGACCAAAAGCATTTGCATATTTAAAAAGAATTAAACGGACGATGCCAGCCCCTTCGTCTGATAAGGATGAAACGGAGTGAACCACGTGGGCAACAGCATCCAGATTGGAAAGCGAATGTTTGTAAGCAAACTGAATAGGATCATGGGTGACAGATAAAGGAGTCAGTCGGTTGAGAAGGACTCTTTGGTACACCTTCAATAATGCTAATGTGCAGGCAATCGGTCGATATTTGGAAGATACTTCTTTGGGAATTGTTGTTATCCGAGCAGCTTTCCAACAATCAGGGATGCTTCCAGATGGCATAGAAAAATTGAACAACTCGGAAATAGGTGAAGCAAGTTGTTCAGCACACTCTTTTAGTAGGAAAGAGGACAATGAATCCGGACCATGTGCCTTGATAGATTTAAGGTACTTCAGTATACCCAACGGGGGAGCTATTAGGTGAACTCGAAAACTTATATGTTCCACTTGAGGGGGAAATGTGAGGAATGGTTGATCCCAGTGAATATCAGTTAATGGACTTCCTTACTCACAAGTAACAGCGAGTTGAATGCGAATGAAAACTGAGGAATGAATGCCAAATATTCATGCAAATGTTGGGTTTTCTCACCGTTGTTCATAAAACACGATCTATGGACTACTGTTATTTCTGTTATACACTCCTTATTTATGACTAGTTTTTCAACCACACAATAAAGTGTGGTATGATTCACATATCTCATAGATAGTACTTCAGTCGGAGCACTGTGTTAATAACTCATAAATTTTATCATAGTTCGATTTAACTTTGGACTAACAACAACAACACCAAGTGTTATTAACAAGGAGCCGCGGGAATGTCGTCACAATCTAGCTGATAGCCATGCGATTGACAGACAGTTAATCGATTTTCAGCGGATTGTAAACAAAGCGCATTATATGGATTTGGGCTCAAACGCCCTAAATGTGAGCTAAGTACCATTGACGGACGTATGGATGCCTAAAGTCTAAACAACTGGGTGTTTGCTATGAATAGTTGAAAGATACTGCAAGTGACCTTGGGTCATGTTGCACATTTAATTTGTTTATAATTACACGCCAGCGATCGAATCGCGCGAGCGAACACACGCGCGCATAACAAATCGCATGGTGCAGATCGCACACGAGGCACCCATGCATACATACACACACGGCTCGAAAACCTATTCATTGATAGACCATAAACACCTTGATATTCGTCGTTTGGCGTCATTCAAACATTATGTGATGACCTAATGCCGTTTATACATGTAAAAGTTTGAAGAAAGCGACACTTTTGAATCGAATTTTGTGCTACAATCTTGACAGACAATTGCTGTTTATAGCATTTTCTCCACGATGGCATGATTTTTGGTCATCGACCGTTGGAGATTTGGATCCATACCAGGTGGTTTCTTTTCGCTTCATTGCAAAGCACTGTTGTAATGAGAGATCAGAGCAGAACAGATAGGTCATAATTTGCATAGACATAATTTGCAATCCAATAACGCCAGTCGGCAACCGTTTGAAGCATGTTGGAGAATCTGCTGCACTAGCACTCATGTTGGCACCTATCCACAGCAAACTAGAATGCCCAAGAACGTGTTCGTTCATCAACCTTGGACCTCTTGTCTGATCATGGGGATTCACTTTCTTTTGACCACACGCGCTCTCTATCAGTCTCGCTCTCTCTCAAATAGGGGCCAGTGGTTAGTCACCTTCCAGTAGTATAATTGCAAGGTGATACAGTGGATTGTGACCATGATATGAAATGGAACTGGGGCAACACTCTCAAGTACATAATTCAGATGTTTTTGTAACTCATCTCTGGGTCGTGAACAGCAGACGGGGTGGAACCGCATAGTCACCAGGACCTGCGTTACTGTGAGAGAAACCGTGAACCTAAGTCCCGGGACTTGGAGTGGCGAACCAATCGGTTGGGTGTGGTATTGAACCGGACGACAGAAAACCTTCCTATCACAAAATGTGGATGAAAGTTACGGGCTCGAACCCAGGACCATAAGGCCCAAATCACGCCGGTGACAGCCGCTAAGTAACCTTTAAAAGCTTCCATAGGCTCGTGTTGAACCGATTCCTAATTACAATTGCATAGAGAGTAACTATCCTGCTTCTACGTTTTAAGCTAAACATCTAGTGTAGATAAATACACCATTCAAATATTGCATTGTGTTCGCCAATGGAACCATTTATCCGCGATCTATTTCGTCACACTTCTGTAGACCATAAATGAACAATCAGACATGAAACATCAGTTGCGAGTACGTAGCCGAAGTCAGTTTGTTTTATAAAGGGAATATGTGGACAGTGGTGATAAGGTTTGTCGTCATGCTGGACGATCGATATTCTATGTTTGAACAGATTCTCGCATTATGGAGTGATGGTGCGATAGTTTAGTCGCTACCAAACGTGTTCCACACTTAACCTAGCTGGTTGGAGCCTTATTTGGTTCCCCACTCCAAACTACATTGTTACTTTTTTTCAGTCAATTATCCGAGTGCTAACAATCACCTTAGTTAGAGTGATCCCGCAGAACCCAAAATGATCTCATTCTGTGCGACCAATAAGCCCCTGGAATTGACAATGATAAAATGGGGAAGCATCAAATGCGCGATACTGATTGAAAGGTCAACTTTAAAAACAAACTGCTCACTTGTGGCACACTCCAAACTTTGTCAGATTTTCTGGTCTATCACAATTGCTGTTAGTCCTGCACAATGTCCAGGAATGAATTTCTTTTTTTTCCACCTCCGATGTTTATTTTTCTACTTCTTGTGAACTTTAGCCTGCCGTAACTGACCTATCGAGCCGTTTACAACAGCATTCGATCAGTTGGTAAACCACATGTTCCATTTCTTCACAGGACAACATGTAAGGTATAGAAGAATTAATCGGTTGGCAGAGCTCTAACAAAATTCTAATTTGGAAAACAAATACACGGGACAACGTGAAAATTTAACCTAGATAAATTCCCGATCTGGAGCAAAAATCTGCTCCACATTACTTGTCGTACAAGCATCAGTTTCCGATGCTGTAAGAGGATAATAATGCTAAAAAAGCTATTTGCGTTTCTTCAGTCCGCTGCATCATTATTTAGAAAAATATTATTTGTCAAATTACGCATCTAGCGCATCTGGAGTTCGAAAAGATTGTTTCAATGCGATGCAATATCAATACACAACCCAGTTGAGATATCACTTATTTTCAAAGACATATTTAGCATTTGGTGAATACAGTCTCTCAAACCTGACCTATCCGTGCTCTATTGCCATATCATTTTGTACACAGCATGAAATTGATTCCGAGCCATGCGAGCCGAGTTTTTTCTTGGTGCCAACAGCGTCGTCACTGTGTGACGCAAACAAACCTTGATTGCTTTATCGGGCCAATTCTCATACACAGGTTGGAGGACACCACGGAGTGGGGTGAGGAAGGGTGCAGGGGGTTTCCGAACAACCTAAAATACAGGAAAAATGCAAACAACCGTGAACCAAATACATAGGTCGTGCGAAACACGATCACCGCCCATGCTCGGTTCGGAAAAATATCTGGTGAGGTGCCCATCAGTTAAAATTTCGAATCGATTTGAAACAATTAGCTTTTATATCCATAACCGGTATGGATCCATGGAACGATGATTGAAGTTTCTCTTATGACGCATAGCATGAATGTATCGAATCCAGTCAATTCGTTACCACAACTACCAACCGCTGTTATGTCTTTTCCAGCTTCGCCTTATACCTTTTCCAATCCGTGCATTTTTCAGATGTGAACTGTTGCCTTCGGCCACACGATTTATCCAGGCCGCATGCGCCGCTCAGAGTACTCCGGAACCGCTCACGTTTTCCGTGCATTCGGTGGTAAGTGTTCTGGTATTTGGTTTTCGTGTGTGTGTGTGTGTGTGTGTGTGTATGAAATCTACGTTCTCCGCCGAACGATATTGTTGCAAGTTTCTGACAAATTTGTACATATTCCAAGGAAACAATAAGAGCGGAATCGTAGCCAAGGAACATAAATAATATTACTAATAATAAATTTTATAACAGTACTCATGAATTTAGCTTTCGAATTAGGAAAAAGTTCTTCCGATTCTAGAAACCGAGTCACATCCAGGCGAATTGAGATCCGGTGGAATTAAGCGAATGATTCAGGGATTTTGACTTTTAGTTGACCGCCTTTTGTGGTGGTAACTCGAAGTTTCAATCATTTTCAATCACTTATTCTAGAAAACTCCATGGATGGAGAAAAAGTTTCAATGAAAAAAAACTTTCAGGTTTCATAGCAATGTATGGACTCAAAAATGTGAAATTTCATAGACCACTGTTTACGGATCAAATTTAGACAGATGATCACCATAGTGCAGGGATGGTGTTCAGACGACGCAAGCACTACTAACAACAGGAACTATTTTCTAACTTGTTCACTTCTCTGTGCCACTTGAGGTCAATATTTCTTTAGGTAAACTGACTCCAAAATTGATTATTTAATAAGAAGACCGCCAAAAAACCTGGAATAAGGGAAGTACCCGTTGAAAATATTTCATAGAATGTTCACTATACACTACTTTTATGTAATTCTTACTTGGTCAAGCTGCCGAGACTGTTCCACGACCAAGGGAACTCTCCCGGAAACCCTGTCGTGTTTGTCCGAGGGACTCAAGAATTATCCCAAATTATTTCCTTAAACCCTTACCACCTTGTTTATTTTTTGAGGCATTATTTTATTCAATAAATAATCCGTAATAGCAACCTCACTGAATACACAAATGAAATTGTTTCTCAACCCGGAGAAATTGTAATGAATAAGATTTTATGATCCTGATTTTTGTTTGTTGGCTCATTCACTGAAATCGAGAAATCCCCTTTTTCGTCGAAGTCAACCTTGAAATCAAAGTCATTTTTGTGCACAACTGTAAAAAGTTTGTATTATTGTCACTGTGAAGAGGACAGATATAGAACTGCACTAGCACACAAGATGTAAAATTCCATACCAAACATTACCCAATGCTTTACCGGTGACAATGCACACAAAATTTACATCCTAATTATTATCCATGTTAATTTATTGCAAATAAAAATTGTATTGTCTTGAGTTAACTACTAACTCATCATGGTCTAGTCAATCACTACTGGTGAAATGGGAGTATCCGCTAGATTCTGAACTATTCGATCTGTTCGGTACAAACTAATCACGAAGATCACTGCTCTAAAGACTCACCAAAGCTTGTTCATTAGTATTCGGAAAAACATTTACTTCAATATAAATTGTATTGCCTACAGGAACCCTCCGGTGTTTCACAGGGACCCGTTGCTTCAGTTTCGATTAGACCTGGGTTCACCCTGTTTTGATCTGACCCAATGTACCCACTTCAACACAACCAGTGATACATAAATAGGTCCATGACTTGAACTATTTCGGATGTATCTTGAGACCGCACGTGATGTACGCGAATGGTCTGTTTTTATGTGATGTCGACGCGTTACGGACGTGCATCTCAAACATCTGCGTCCAAGACACTACGAGCAAATCCGTCAATGTTTACTTGAAAGTCACAAGGTCAATCGCTCACGTAAGGGTATGATACGGATCTGAAAACTAATTTAACCACTTGGAGGCACGCATTATGCAATGAAAACAAATCTATCATTCAAATAAGACCATGGAAACTATACAACTCCCGTGACAGCACAGTAATCTCATGCCGGTCTTGTCTGGTCTCCGTTATTAACGCTTAGTGAAACGTTTGGCCACTCTCAATAATTTTAGCGGTCGACAAGGTTTTATCACAAGATTTATTTTTGGTAAACTCTGTGTTTTTATCTTCTGAACCAATCAAGGATCAGTGGCTGTTTCTTATCTCGATCCCGTTCTTTGAACAGTCGATTGATCGCTTCTCTGATAGAACTGATAAACTGAGTGCATACCAGATTAAAACAATCACGCTTGTAATGATCTGAACATTAAATAATTAGAAACAGAGTTTCGAACAATTGGAATCCAGTCTCGTAGTTTATTTGGTAGAGCGTGTGCCGTACAAAAGTGTAGGCGGCGTCCATGCGTGGGTTCGAATCCCGCCGAGGTTACTGAACGTTTCACAAAGTCAAATCTATCAAACAACAATTTGAACAATTAGAATGTACTCTGATAAATTATTCCGGAAATGCATCGTAGCCAATCGAATAGTGTCCCGCATAAGGACTCGTCATGCCGTGGGGCGTGACTCATTCTGATCTATAGCATGTGCTGGCCATCACTCCACAGTACGTTAAAAATCGGCTAATAGGTAGTTGTACAACTAATGTATGCTTGCGTGCTTACATTTCACTTACGACTGTACACTGGTCGTCACGCGGAATAAAATATACAGTTTCAAAAAAACATGCAAGCTGAAGAATGTCGTTGAGGTTTATATCTTGCATATAAAACTTCTGACGTAATTTACTTGCGACCTGTTGCTTATTCGTTTGGAGTTGGGCCACATAGGGCACAGGTGAATTTTTATAAATGTTAATACAGGAGGGTAGATGCCAAAATGAGGAGTATGTAGATGGATGGGAAAAGCAAAGTGATAGATCGGCAAGCAATGGATGACGAGGGTCATATAGAATCTTATGGGCAAATTTAGCACGAGAGCTGATGTATTCAATAATGAGTTCCATGATTATTGAATCGATTGAAATTAATGATGCACGGCTGATTATCATCAACCTACAACGAAGGGTTTCGAAATTTTGTTTCAAATGGTTGGTAAAGCATCCGATAGAGCAATAGAATAGAATGGGGCTAATTCAATGATGAAAGAAATAGGAGAGGACTGACTGCGGGGTTCGAAATTGCCTGAGTCTGCGTAAGTGAAATGAAAGGCATCTCACTTTTCTCATACAACTGTAAATGTATGTAGACCAATGAAGATTGCTGTCGATGGTGACACTCAGGTACTTGACCAAGGTCATTCTGGACACAGGTTTCCAGTCAATGGTAGCAGAATCAGTTGGAAATGAGGAATGCGAAAGATTGAAAATAGACTCTACGAACTTAGCTGTAATACAACTGAGACCAGCTTAATTGGAAACTTGTTGAATGTGGGATAGATTTTCAGTGAAGGAATCGAATTCCGTAGGACATTTTGCATCGAGGTCACAGTTTGATGTCTAACAAGCAATTGTACATTTTTCTAATTTAGGTTTACAAATAAAGAAATTTTAATTCAACTATGAAAGAACTCCAACAAATGGATTTGCTTATTGTTGATCGAAACTTATATGTTATACAGGTTCGCTATCATTCTCGGCAATAATGATTGTTCTGTTATCCCTATTTTTGGCCTATCTCAGGAAAATCCCATAGAATTGGATGTGACTGTGACCAGAGTTGGCGAAGGTCCGCCACATCGACTACGGCGGACCGAGTTTCTACTGACAGAGGGCGGTGAGGTTTCGGTCACTTCTATGGATCTCACCCTGTAAGTCCCATAATATATATGTATATATATATATACGTATACTGGTATGAAAAATTTTGATCAACAATAAGCCCTAGTCTGGATTAAAACGTGTAAATGGCTATCCTCACACATCATTCACCTTCTCGCTTTCAAACGTAATATGTACATATATAGATATATATACATATATAGATGCATATAGATAGATAGATAGATAGATAGATAGATAGATAGATAGATAGATTCAGTGAAACTAGTTTTTAAGTGTTCTGCACTTTTGACGGCTGTGTGTGCACGTGTTCCCTCAATGAGAATATTCATCTATTCCTGATCTGGTAAACGAATGAACCTGGTGACGGAAACAGTCTCCTTAGCTCATCGGCGAGATGTTGATAAGTTCCTACAAGTTCGAAGAAGTTCGTGGAGCACGTTTCTTAGGTATCAGGGTAAAAGTTTTACAACAGACCGGAACCGTTTCTCACAAAAAACAAAATATTTGGATATATGCATCTGTCAGCTTATATATGATGACATTTACGTGATCGACGTGGAAATGACGAGGATCTGACGGGAAAGTACATCATACGTAGAAGTGATGAACAAGAACAAGAACAAAAACAACAACGACAACTGCGAAACACGTCTTGGGGACGCTCAATTACTCTGAAGCCGAATAAGGGAAATGGTGCACTAAAGCGCATTGGTTCTTTCAGCCCTTTTAACCGCGACTATGTGAACTAAACACGTGCTCATCACCAATGAGAAATAGATGTCAAATTGTTATCAGAAAAGGATATCAGAGAATTACAGACTTGTCAGACTTATAAGATTCATTCGCTATCATAGAAAATTAAGGTGATCATTTGGAGCTGATATTTGCTACAAACCAGCCATGTACATGACCAAAAAGGAAGGAGATTACGTCACTAG